TCCGATCGTTCGTTCCTTGCGAGTCCAAGGGAACGAAGAGGCTGTCGGGAGTAAAAAGTTATCGCGGGCCCTGTGAGATCAACGCCTATCTATGATAAACAACACTTCGGGAGCACGTCAACGCGATCGGTCCTGGATAAAGGAAGGGATGTATTTTCCAGCTTGAACCGAGATCCCTCTTTTTCGTAACGAGAGACTTGCGAAACTCGTTCTGCCGCATGAACTACACTGTGTACCACCAGTCACCGTTTGGTCCCATGCTCATACTCGTCGAGCCGGGAAAAGTGACGTGCACGTGAGAGCCTCTGACACTGTCAAAGTCTTGGAGGAGTCGCTGTAGTCTCTCACTCACGTCTTCCTTCGAGTGGGAGAATCGGGGCTCCCAGCAGAATTGCCAGCCTACATCATACAATGAGAAAGGAACGGGGAGGGGAGACGTGGAAAATTGTTTTTCAGGCGAACCAAGTGATTATTAGCGAGAGTTTGGGGGGTTAAGGGTTGGGAAGATCATCTCTTCGAGGGATAGGAAGAGACTGTTTGGAATAGTTTTGATGGGATTTTGAGAGGTGGGGATATTGTGTTTACAACTCGGGAAGTTTTAGGTCTGTGATCGCGCAGGGGATGGAAAGGAAGGGGTTGGAAAGGACGCGTGCTTGATTTAGCTGGCGATACCGAGAACAAGTGGTTATATATATGAGCGAACGAGGGCTGAAGGGCGCGCGTGGTGTAATATTATCGCAACTTGGGCGAGTCTTGTAATATCTTCAAAGTACTCTGTCAAGGGCACACTGGCAGTATAACGACTTGATGTGCTACATTATTCCGAGTTTCGTCGTCTACTTGTCTGACATTGTTTGATTTAGACGGTATTGAGAAGATTTTGTTAATGGTGCTGATACAACATTTACACGGCCCAATTCCGTGACTTGGGAAATTGGCAAATCCTTTTGTCAACAACATTCACATTCCCGAGGTACGGCAAGTCTCGCGATACTTTTCCCGTGATGGTTCCAACAAAAAAAAAAGAACTTTGAAGGCACATGCTTGCATTTGAACCATGCCTGGACCTCCATCACAGCAAGCTGCCAACAAAACCCCGAAACGCCGTAAAAGAGTAAGCCCGGGAGGGCAGCTCTGTTTTAAAAGCCTAATTCATCCCTTTCCCACTCTCTGCGGCCCCTTGTTGCCGACTTTCACGCGCATAATCCGGAATTCATTCGTGGCGCGAAGAGCGAGAGCAAATCCATCGCTACGTAGACGGAGGTCTGGAGAAAAGGGGGGTGGGTTGTACGCGAGGCATCCATTAACTAAGCCCCGTAATCCCCTCAGTTAAGTTAGCACATGGTGCCAGTCACGGGTCCGGCCACCCCACCCGTTCCCCAACCACCGTCCCGACACATGTAGGTGCGCTTATTCACCCCGGCATTGGTGTTGTGCGTATACATACACTCCCACATCCTTTCAGTCAGCTTATGTACCTACGTACACGTAATGTAGCGGTGGAGGGTAGGAAAGATACGGCACCCCTTTCCACCCCCCCCCAAAGGTGGGAGAAGATGCTTGGCCCGGGCGTTTAAGCACCATTTAGAGAAACGCCCGGCAATGGTGTTGTCCGTAGCCCTTGCTCCACCTCTTCCCGTGAGTATGTGCGTGTGCACGCGTGCAGGGGGGTGAACGAAGAAGTAGCAATAATGGTAATGATCGGGAGGGGGGGGTGATGCTGCTACTGTTGTCTGTTAATGATTTTCGCTCCATCTTCGTCCCGTGGGGGAAAAGAGCGGGTGTACATCGTGAGCTTTCGAGTTGATTGTGTTTTGGGACCTCTATCGCTATCTCCTGTGCTCGGCTCGAGTGTGCATTTAGAAATTGGTCGGTGGCTTGGATGGATGTCTTTCTTTTTTTCTTTTTTTTCCAAGTCCATAAATGTTAATCAAATGACGCTCGTTACGAATGACGAGGTATTTGACTGGATAATTTTTGAGATTGTAAATGACAGGATATATCTCAAAGAGCACGACTCGCGTCACCTTTTACACGAGCGAGGAAATACATTTTCCCCAAAACGATAAGCTGGCATAGAAATCCTCTCGTTAATTTACCACCCAAAAAACGATTCTAGACCTCCACTCCGGCGTTCCGATGTCGCAGCAAGATTAGGCCCCACGCGCTTATATACTTGTTACCCACAGCCGAGTATCGAAGAAACGAGCGAGCGTGTGTAGATGGTCTCAAAAGTAAAGCGAACCCCCGAGGGCGTCCATGACCAATGGCTCTGTTTATCTTTGAATAATGAATAACCGTCGGCCGTCCCTCCCTTCATCGCACCACGCCGAAAACTCGCTGCGGGGAGCACACGGCGGACAAGAAGCATCACGCGCCGAGGAGGCATCTCTTGGACGTATCTCTGCAACACGGCTCTCCGGGGACGAGACCTGCGCCCTCGGCTCTTCTTCTTTTTTGGGAATATAGGGCTCCGTGGGAGGGGAAAGATATACACCTGTGCTGTTTTCTTTTGCGGCTGAGCTTTCGACGCAACAGCATCGGCCAAGAGGCAGTATGGTGGGTTTTTCGCGTACGTAACGAGTATTTGCACCTGGCAATCGGTTATTTTGCTCCAAGCATTTGTGTGCCCTCCTCGTCTCTCCCAGCATGATGATGATGATGATTGTCATTTAAGTCGTGAAAGCCTCGTCAAAGATACGGATTAGCCGATGCTGGTACGAGGTATACGTGTACATCTGATGGAGTCGGCACGTGCTTAAGCCTGTACGTCTGTCAAAGCTCGCAGCTTACACATCGATGCGCTCGCGCTTCTGCGCCCAAATTGCCGGTGTTTCCAAGCTCCCCGAGAAAGAGCTAACGAAGTTCATCCGTGTATATATTCCCCGCGTCTGTTTGTCCCTCTTCGTGCGCATCTCGAGCTACCTGGCATCGATGTATATGAAGCCGATTGACGTGATTTCCACTGATCCCTCCACCTGGCGCTGCTCCCGTTACGCGCGCCTGGTGATTAAATATTTGTCCCCTCCCTATAGCCCCCCCTACCCCCGTGTGTACTACACTGACGTTGCGAAATGTCGTTTATGTATATATGTACATGTGTGGGTGCACGTGCACGCCCCCGATGCGCTGAATATGGGATTTCGAAATGGATTGTGTGTATACGCGTGTACGTACATCTCTCTCTCTGCGTCATGCGTGTGTTTACGTAATAGCTGATGGCACACGGGGCTTGGGCACACGGTTCGATCGGACGATCGAATTTCCGAGTCTTCTTTTTTTTTTGCGTTCACTCGTGATGCTTAATTTTTTTTGTCGCTTGTTTACACTTTGTTGGGTCATACGAGTCGTTGCGCGATTGAATTTTCCAACTTTTCCGTCGGAATTTTCATTTACACTGTACGTACACGTACGGCTTCGAATCGTTTATATTCCATCGTTAATTAATATGGCTTCATTGATACTCTGAAAAGATATTCATACGTGGGTGTATGTAACTACAAATAATCATATGGATGCACATGTTTTTGGTTTCTGATACATGCATCAATAGGAATTTGATTGATTAAAACGTGTTTGACGAAGTTCTCGGAGTAATCATAAAACGAGATTTCAACTTTAATTATTCGTTGTTTTAAACACCCCAGCGTATCTCTAATTCACTGTACATTATAATATTTAATGACGACTCTGACGCATAATTCATGCATATTTGTTAATTAAGCGAGATTATTATTGTAATGAGTCTCGTATGTCACGCAAGTCCAACTCGATGCCATACGTAGCTTTGACAAAATTTTTTCACGCGTCCCTTTTTTTATATTTTCCTAATTTTTTACATTAAAACATAAATGAATATCTTGTACAAGAGATATTCCTTTGAAACTTCACATGAGATGACGCTTTGCATCACTTTTGAATTTGTTTAATCATTATCTGTACGGTTGAACATTGTTGTTTGTAAGCTTTATTGATATGAAAATTGTAATTAATGCCATTCGGGCGAAACGTTACAATGGTTGAAATCGAAATTCATTTTGCCTCTCCGGCTAAGTGGTGCAAAGCTATTATTAGTTATAAACTTTTACCTCTATATTAATACGAAAAGTTGGTGCAACAATTATTTTAATATTAAAAACATCATATAATCATACGAATAATAATGATTTGTTTTTGTAATAGTAAAATGAATGGTACATAAACTAAAACGACATAATCCTATCATGTAACTATAATGAGATGTACGTACGCACACCCTTATGGACAATTTGTTCAATCTTTTACTCCGTAAAAATGTTTCTACCTGCAAAAGTTTATTTTTGACCAACACAGTAATACGCTTTTGAAAATTTCCTTGAAATATCACAGCAGTATGAAAGATCCTTATTTTTGTCCTGATTTGCACAGTGATACGTGAAAAAACCAACAACAGCTTGAGCTGGTCGAAATAAACGTCAAACACGTAGTAAAAAGCTCGAGTGTCGAAAAGAAAAGATTCGAGCTCCGAATGGGGGCGAAAGGGGTGGTTAAAGTACCGTTAAAAAAGGGTATTAGCCAACGACTCCATAAAAACAAAGCAGCGCCACTGAGGAGGGGGGGGGGCGAAGGCGAAAGAGAGCGGGGAAGGCAATGCCTTTGAAAGGGTATCAAAAGCCAATAGGTGCGGTTAGCGCGGGTCGCGCGCTCTCAAGTGGTATAACGGACAGCATGTCGAACTGGAGTTGGGGGGGAAAAAAAAACGCCACGACTACCCTACCACCATACACCAGCAGCAACAGCTCCTCAAGACAAGGATACCGCTCTCTCGCTGCTACGTGTAACTGTTGGTGCACCAAAGGTTCTCATACAAGCGCACACGGAGCCCTGCGCCACGAGGTCGCTGCCGGTAGTGGTCCTGGGCGCGTGGGAGGATGGGTGGGCAGTGGAGGGGGAGTCGCTACCACCGAGTCACGGCTTCATTGCGCAGCCAGTGCTCGCACGGTTCGGGTCGCGCGCGGGCCTCTGTCGCGTCACGAACGCCGTCCGAGTCGTTGGTAATAGGTATACTGCTAAGAGCCGGGAGGGCAACTAATTTAACGTCTAATTGTTACGAACGTGTGCACGCGAGGTTGGTGAGAGATGGTAGCCGTTGGTCTGTGGTTTGATCGAGTGTGCTTGAATCAAGGACTGGAGGTGAATTTGTAGACGAAGCTTTTTCGTGCTCGTTGGTGCGCGGCTGGCGTTTGTTTGCGAAAAAGGAATAGAAGAGTCCTCGTAATGAGCACAGGTGGTCCGTGATCTTTGCAGAAACGAAAGAGGAAGAACCAGGTGAGTCTTTTTTTTTCTTCATTTTACTCCGTTACTAGTCGGTATTTCCTTAAGATCCGACGCATCTCGTCGCAATGGAATACGCGTATTCGAGCTAAGAATTTCGCGATATTTCACCCCACGAGTCCTGATTCACACATGTAAACTTTTCCGTGTATTCATGAGATGAGTTTCACCGATGATTTCACGTTGGGGTACATTGGGGTGGAAATGTCAATATGTTAATTTACTTTCCACGTTGATCGTTCCTCGGGTGAAAATACCCACCCACTGATAATCCGGTGTTTATTAACATCACTCGCAAAAGCGGAGTAAAAGCAGAGCTGGTTCGGGGAGTCATTAAACAAATTCAAAAGTAATGCAAAGCGTCATCTCATGTGAAGTTTCAAAGGAATATCTCTTGTACAAGATATTCATTTATGTTTTAATGTAAAAAATTAGGAAAATATAAAAAAAGGGACGCGTGAAAAAATTTTGTCAAAGCTACGTATGGCATCGAGTTGGACTTGCGTGACATACGAGACTCATTACAATAATAATCTCGCTTAACTAACAAATATGCATGAATTATGCGTCAGAGTCGTCATTAAATATTTAGTGCGCTTCTGGGCTCTCTTTTTGTCGTAGAAGCGCGTCATTAAGAAAAATAAGGAAGGAGGAGACCCAGATCATTTCTAGTGTTTTACGTTGAAACTCTTTGCAATTAGAGTCCATTTATAATGAATCGACAAGGATACATTTTTTTTCTCTCTCCATAATGAGCCCCTACAAATTCACTCGCTGATATTACGTTTTGTTTTAATTCTGGAAATTATTTTATAATGTAATACTTGCAGTAATGAACTAAGGCTGCACTTAAAAACTCAACAAATATGAAAAGTCACACTTTGGATAATCTAAAAATGGCTACGATGTATAATTTTATTCCCTGAAGCGAGGTAAAACGTTTTTTTTTTCTAATCTAACGGGGCCCTAAAAAAATCTTTACCTTACGATTATAGCAAAAAAGGAGAGCACATGGAAAAATTAAATCGCTCTCTCTCTCTCCCCCAAACGCATGGCCAAAAATTTTCTTGAACTCTATCTCTCATCCCCCGCTGCGCTTCTTTGTCTTTCGCACTTTTATCATCCACGCCGGATTGAAACTTCTTACTCCGTTTCTCATGTTTACTCTGACACTCTGATGCCCCGGTGATCAAGTGCTCACAAATATTAGTCATCTTGCAGTCACCGATCTTTTGAGTTGGGATCCTGTTACCCTCCAAAGTCCCATAGCCCGTAATTACTTTACTAGCTGCAGCAAAAATCCAAATCCACAGATACCCTCGATATCGCGAAACACAAATTTACTGTAAAATAATTAGGAAATCAGCTCCCTCGATTCTATTCCTTACACTCGATGCAACAAACTTGCAAAAGGAGATACAGACGCGCGCTCGACGCCACAAGAAGCCGCTCGCTCGTTTGTTCTCCAACTCGCTGGTTCGTTAGCACACGCAAACCATACAGTACACAAAAATAAACAATGCACCTTCGCATGCAAAACGCACAACAGAGGGGGCCTCTCTCTCTCGGTTGTAGCACCCCGCTGGAGGTATATATTTCCGACGATGCGCGAGCGAGGCTCCGTTAATTAATCACCGTGAAATATAATCTCTTGAAACACGGGGGATAGGGGGCGACTAATCAGGAAGAAACTCGGTCGGACGTTGACGAGCTGGTGCAGCGGTGATGCTGTCGGGGCGCGACAGACGCGCCTACACGTGTCGCCTCGCGCATCAAGATGGAAATGTAATTTGCCCGGGAGGCAGAGTTATGGTGACTGCGTGTGAGAGGAATACCCATATATGTGTGCGTATGGATTTTCCGCTCGACCCTAGAAGGGGGTGGAAATTCAAGGGGAGCACCGTAGGTGTAAATGATGTAACAATCGATGGGCAAAGGAGATTATTTCTCTGCAACAGAGAAATGGGACGATGAGCACGCGTTTACCTTTGAGCCATACTCCGGAAAGTCAGATTTGGGCATGACATAGTTCCCCATCGCTGGATAGTGTGTACATGGGGAGGATAATTTGGCTACCAAGATGCTGAATTTAGATGAGAATTTTCCGAAAGGCGGATATGACACGAGGCCAGGGTGAAAGGGGAGAGGGAAAAAAAATCTATTCCTCTGGATCTGAAGAGCTCGTGAAGCTCACCTGGTCATCCCTTGCGAAGAGAACGCGTACCCTTTCTCGGAGCGAGGAGCAAAGGATGGATGAATCTTCAAAGGGCGAACTCTGTACCATGAAGTAAAAGGGAACAGGAGCCCAGGGGGGAGGGGCTTTGCAGTCCCGGAGGAATCGGGGCTCGACCTTTCAACTTTGCCGAGGCGATCGCCAAACTGCTCCTTGCCCTTTTGCCCGCTCGTATGGGTAAGTGTACGCGGGCAATGGGAAGCCCCGCTTCGGGAGAGAGCGGCTTACGAGAGCTAAGACTTTCGTAGCTGATGGTGTCTGCAGGGAGGATTCACGCGGTGGAGGAGCAAGTCGAACTTGATGGACGAGCGTTATCAGAGGGAGGGAATTTTATAGTACGTATCGATTGTGTAGGGGCTATTGTTGCAGAGGGATGGGAGGGAGGTCGCTCAAATGCGAGGATTACAAGAGGCAGAGAGTTAGGAGGAGTTTGCTCGGTGGTTGCATTTAGGGTTGTTAAGTTAGATGGTGCGTGGGTGTAGAGGAGAGTAACTTTGCCCTCTTGAAGATATTATACATGACCATTTCGTTGGATATTATTTTTGAGTGTAATTTCAATGCCAAAGATTGCTGCGGATTTTAAAATTTATTATTATTTTATATTGTATTTTATAAGTGTGATTATAGAGTTGCGTAAAGTAAAGAGTTTTATGCTTGATAGTAGCTATTTGACGATGTTGTATCCCTTGTATCGCTGACACACTGATTTCCACCGAAAAATCAAGTAAATTTTCAAAATCATCTACATAGTAAATACCATAGAGTCATCGCTTGGCAAACGTACGTGTTTTGTTGTTCAAAAAAAAAAAAAAAACATAGTCAAGAGAATTTAAAGAAGTAAATATAAAACTAAACAATCAGCCGCAACTATTGTAAGTAGAGGGGAGTTTTAGACTAAATTTCACACGGAACTCGCATGAATAGTTCAACCGCGGATGCATCAAATGAATAACATCGTTGATTTTGGTCTCGGTGGTAATGACATTACTGCAGGCAACTATTGATCGATTCATCATTACTGGCCAAAGATCGTTAATATTTAACGACGGTAATATCATGCGACGATTAACCGGTACACTGATGTCACACATCGGGTCCAAGTAACCTACATTTCACACGAAGTGTTGAAAAAAGAGAACCAACGGGCACAACTGAGAAGTCAAGTAATGATCACGCACGGACTCATTTTAATTCTCTATTCTCTCAGCTGGTGTAGGTATACTCAAACGGTAACTCTTGAGAGAAAGCATCGAGAGGAGAAAATGACGCGGGAAGTTAACGATGGAGCTCAGTCTATTAGACGCGAAAGCATTTGGGAAACCACTGCTGCCATGTACGGTTATTAATTGCGCATTTTCATTTTTAATCGCTGCATGTGTTTTCTTTTTTTTTTTTTTTTTTTTTCTGCAAAGTCATGAAAATCGCTGCGCGTATGTGATGCTCGTTAAACCGTTCCATTTGAGTTAGCATCGGCTAATTTCGTTGATTGTTCATCGGGATCTACCTCTTATGGACGATAATCGCGACTAATGGCTGCATGAAGGTGGACAAAAAGGCAGTTTCTTCTTGCTCTCCATTACGACATGACGTACGAGTTGGCAAGATAAGAGTGAGCGAGCGAGTAAGTATAAAATATAAAATATAGTAGCCGGTCGCTTAGTATCCTTTCCTCAAAGGGTCTCGACAGTCATCCTCATTTTTTAACCATTCGCGCGCGCGCTAGTCGCAGATTGCGCGGACCCACTCGATGGACCTTTCCGTCTTCTGGCTTTCACGAGTCGTAGCCGATGCAGGAGGCGCCGGATTATCCTCCTCTATCAATTTCGGCGCGAGGACGCCCCTTCCGGGTTCCCGGAGACCCTTCCATTCACCTGTGCCCCGCTCCCGGAAACTTTCTTTTGCCCCCCCCCCCTTGATCCGAATGGGGAGCAGAGGAGGAGCCGCAGTATATATCCGGGAGCAATTTTTCCACCCACCCTCCGATTTTTTTTTTTCCTCCTTCCTTTCCCAGCCTTAATCGCCTTATCTCCGTTTGCTTGTTTTTTCACCGCGAACTTTTCCCCAGCTCGACACCGCCCCGTCAAACGCTTTTTCCTCTCGACGACGCTTGCCTGCAATATTTCCCCGTTTCTCGAGAAATCAATATGTGTGTATGTGCCGCGTATGCTCGTGAGCCCCGCAAAAGATACCTCGAAACTCAAACCCCCTGCCGTTTGCCGGTCAAATTTCGTCCTTCCCGCGTTTACTTGCTTCTGTTCGTTCAAATATGCATCCCTGCGTATTTACATTTTATCCTTTTTTTTCGAGGGGGTGGGGGGAGGCTGTAAAAGACAAAAGAGCAAGGAGAGGTTTAGTTTCGGGCGCCCTGTGTGCGTTTGGTGACTTACGCGTTAACCCTCATCAGTCCACCCCCTTGATCTGGGAAAATCGCGGAATCGGCGTGCGTGTCCATCATCCTTGCTGTACACTGATCTACATGTATAATACATTGCTATCGAAAATGCACCTGTTTGTGTACCTATTATTTACTTTTTTTTTTTTTTTTTTTCTTCATCGTCTAAATGGTATACATTTTTCATATTATCTCCGTACAGCATTTAGTTCATAAAGTATTTCAAACAAATCTCGGATTGGTCAAAGTAGTTTTTTAAAAATATTGTCCAACTGAGCAGTCACGGCTCATCCCTCACTCTATGTTCAATTACTTTTCAATTTTGACTTGGATTTTTTGTTTTTCAATTTTAATAAGTTAAAAGGACAA